TCAAGACGAACATTTTCCGGGGTCAAACGTTGAAATCCGTCCATATCAATTTTGGACAGAGGCTTGATCGATTTGGCAAAGAATGCCCCATATATAAGAACTTCAACACAAACTGTTAACAAGAATGCGAATGGACTGTTTTCAATACAAATACACAATGTTTTTTACTGTGAACGATTTCACTACAAATGGCACTAATTTAAAGCAAACCTTGAAAAATGAAAGAATATATTTTATCTTTTATGACGTGTATGAAGAGAACAAACCTTTTTTCTGCTTTCTTCAACTTATCGTAAAATACATCATATCTCTCTAAAATACTTTTTTAATACTTATGCTATATGATAAAAAACATTGCGCATTTACGTTGGAAACAGTTCACTCACGTTCTTATAAATTGTTTGTGTTGAATTTTTTTTATATATTAGGGTGTTAATTTATCATAATGTTATTTAAAGATTTTATCAACACACTTTATGAATAGGTAAGTGAACATAGAACAAATAATACAAAAATAATATATTTTAAAACGTAAATTCTAAGATAAATGAATAAAATACGTGTTAATTGACAATATATCATAAATGTTAATTATAAAAAGAATATATTTCCACAGTTTGTTTACAAACTGTATCAGCATTATCTTTCTGTGATCATCTTTTTAACCTAATATCTGTGTTGTTCTTTAATATATTCATCTTATATTGACAAAAATTTGAATCTACCATTTGGGTTGTAAAATGTGTTATATTCAACATAAATTTTCAAACAGTGTACGATTTTTTTTCACTAAGTTACGACGATTTAAAGTGAGTAAATTTTCGGATCTTTTCTCTAAGAACTTGTATCTTCACGCTGGTATTATATGGTAACAATTTGAATTTGTCTTTACTTTTGAATGTTGTCTTCATGGCATTTCGAAAATACATTAAATGTAACGATTTAAAAATAAATTCTTTGAATAGATATTTATCTTTTATTTCGTGCATATATTAATTGTTTTAAGTATCGATAACGTTATTATGTTGCAGCGGATGACATTGCACAGGGAGATGCGACAACATGCGGGAATATCTTGGTGATATTATCGTGGATTGTTGTAATATTGACGATGCCGTTCTCTCTCTTTGTTTGTTTCAAGGTAAGAAACCTGTTCAGAGGAAGAAAGACGACTCTTTTAAAAAAATTCTTTAGAACATTATTCTCATTTATGTTATAAATTTCTCGCTATTCGCTAATAGTTATGGGAGCGAGCGTTTTAATGAGTAATGTAACTATAGTTACATGGAATTTATTCATAATGTTATTTTTATCCACAGTACATGCAAATGTTCGTTTTTGCAATACTTTTATTATTATACGGAGCTCATAGATATATATCATTGCGCAGCTGTTATATGTAGGGTTGGAAAAGTTACTTTGCAAATAACTAATTACAGTTACAGCTCTTTATATTCGATGAGTCAATTAGAGAAATAATAAAATTTATGGTGGTTAAATTATATGATAAAACGATCAACAATCGAGCTTAATAAAGAAATTATAATTAAATTTTTAATACATTTATTACAATAGAATAGAACGGTTCGGGACCAAGAGTCCTTCTTTAGCTAATTCAGCGATAAAGTTGAAATTTTTATCTTATTAATACATAGATTAATAGAATTAACAGTAATAAGAAATGTAACAGTTAAAATTGCTTGAAAACTTGTTGAAAAATGATATACATGATATTGCATAATACACGTACTGAGATTAACTTCTAATTAAAATGTTGAGATTTTGTTTTCAATATGAACAATACATTAGTCCAATGTTTTGACGAATAGTGATCTACAACGAAGACTTGATGACTAGTCGTTAAAATACTGGACTAATTGTTCATATTGAAAACAGGATCTTAATATTTTAATTAGAAGTTAATCAACAGTATCTGTATTATACAATATTATCTATATCTTTTACAATAAGTTTCCAATTTTAACTGTTACATTTATTATCACTGTTAATTCTATTAATCTATGTACTATAGTAAGCAAAAACTTTATTGCTGAATTTGTTAAAGAAGGACCTATGATTCCAAAATGTTCTCTTGTAATAAATGTATTAAAAGTTTAATTATAATTTTTTTATTAAGCTCGATTATTAATCATTATCGTATAATTTGTTAGCTTTGCATAATACGAGCGAATACGACTTTATTGGTGGTGTTATAACGATGATCGTAACTAATTCTAGAATACATTGCTTTGAGATTAATGACGTAAATGTCCAGAAATTTGCGACAACTACACAGTTGTCATATAAATCTATTTAATCCTTTTTCAAGTTAACTCCTCTTCTCTTGGGTTTTGTGGATTTGGAGCTTTGAGTTTGAGAATTTATTTATTATAGCTTCAGCATTTTTAAATACGTAAGAAAAACTTGTATAACATTTTCGATGTTGAGTTAAAGAAAGGTCCTGGGCTAAATAGTGTAATTTTAAGAGGTTTGGCAATTTTTTGAGGTTGGAAAAAACTTTGATCTGTTGGCGCAATTCTGAAGTTATATTCGGTTTCACAGCCTCAAAATATATAGGGATACACGGGTCTAGTCTCTCGAACATAAAGCCGCGTATACTCGTACATCTAGCGAACGAACACCGAATGAACAGCGAACGCGAACATTCGGATATTTGCGTTCATGTTCGTAGTTCGTTCGTACATTTTTCCCGATTGCATCGAATACGGGCCGAACATCCATTCGATCTTGATTCGGTGTTTGGGTCATTGTTCGCTATAACCTTATTGCTTGCGACAATTAATATTTTTATTTCATAACAGATATCTTTTTCGAAAAAGCCAATACGATAAACTTTATTTAAAGTTTTCAACTTTATTATCTTTACAGAATGTTAATACACAGAAAAGCACAGAAAAGGTTATGGTGATTCAGGCGAACAGCCAAATAGCGAATACGTGATTTGCACGTTTACATCGCGCACGAATCGCGCACGAATAGTCTTTGATGTACCGCTTCATGAGGGAACCGAGTCGAACGCGAATCGAATGTTCGATTCTCATTCGCTTTGACGTATACATCTGCTGAACGCAACCAATGAATGTTCGCGTTCGCTGTTCGTTCGGTGTTCGTTCACTAAGTGTATACGCGGCTTAACACTTTTTATTTTGTGCATGCGTGCGCACGCGCGTGTGCGTGTGTGGTTGTGTAGTCCATCTGAATCTTTCTTACAAACTTAGTAAAATAAGCATTAATTTCTGCCGCAGTACTATTCATTGGTTATTGTATAATGATTTTAATTTTTATTGAATGATGTTATTAATTTGACTATATATATATATATATATATTTGTATTTTATAATTATTATTAAAATTGTATTCCGTTAATACTATATTTGTTAAACTAATTAAACAGAATATTATTTATTAAATAAATAAAATAATAAGTGGCTTAAGTTTAAAAAACTGTATACAATAAGGAGCATCCAGCCAAAACGCTTGATGTGTTTAGCTTAAAGCATATATTTCAAATAAAATTAAGTAAACGTTTCGGTCTAACACATGTGACCATCTTCAGTACATTAAATTTTCATATTATAATTAAAATCGAAACATCCAGTTGATCAAGATAAAAAAGAGAGAAAAAAAAATTTGTTTTCCCTTACATAATAACTATATACATTAAAGAATTCATAAAGTTACAGTATATAACGCCATAAATTCGCAATAGTATGTATTACCGCAGAGAGAAATATTGCATGTAGAACGATTTTTATCATGAAGTTATATATAAAATTTGTATCCGTCGACTACGTGATTGCCTGATGCTAATGTAGATTATTGAAAGAACCAAAAAAGAAAAAACCAAAAAAACAAAAACCATTAATAATCAAATATTATGTCAATTAATTTTTAATGCAATTACGTTTTGTCAAATGTGATTTTTAATATGCTCACCATGTATTCGTTGATATATGTTCCTCTAAGAAGTCCACAGTTCTTTTTCAGTACAGCGTTATGTAAAATGATTAAAAATTTTTAAATATTGAAAATTTGATGTTATTTAATAGATTCTGTCGACGATATCGTTATGAACACTTACATAAACAGAGGTGATATTTATATTTTATATTTTCAGAAAGAG